CTGATCTCATGTAGGCTAGTTTTACTAATTATCTCCATATACTTTAGTAGGGTTATTCCTGATTTAAGTGAGATCAGAACCAGGCTCAAAGGGCTCAGTGTAAAGATGAGTCCAATCAGGAACATAGATTCTGAACCCCCTGACACTTTGGACCCTGATTAGGATTTGAACCAGAACACCATATCCCAAACTCCTCGAACCCTGAGGACTTTCAGATCCAAATCCAGACTTTGTGGCTTTATTCCATCTCAGGTGAAGAAGTATATGAAGCCAAACATAGCTGCTTAATCAGGTTTATAGTTTACATCCCAAACCCATAAATTTGGGATGTAAACACCAGCTGGGCTTGATTCATCAAAATGTCTTCCTGCTAGGAGCACACCATCCCTAAGCCCAGAGGGGTTTTACGGGGGAATTGGAGAGCACTGTATCCAGACTTAGAGCAAAATTCTCCTCTTAGGTTTACACAGCAGAGCTCAGCTCCCATATTCTGCTCTCCCTACTGGCACAGAACACACATACTGGGGTCTGGTCTACACTAAAACGTTACGTCGACCCAGATACGTTGCTCAGGAGTATGAAAAATCCACACCCCTGAGTGGCGTAGTTAAACCAACCTAATCCCTGGCATAGACAATGCTACATTGACAGAAGAATTCTTCCCTTGACCTAGCTTCCGCCTTTTGGGGAGATGGATAGGTAATGAGAGTATCTACACTGAAGCCGCACAGCAGCACAGCTGCAGCTATGCCACTGTAGCATTTGAAGTGTATGCAAGCCCTAGGAGAGAAGAATAACCGAGTCAAGATTTGGCATGTGGCTCTAACATGTGATTCCATAGCAGCAAGGTGGAGTCTAAACAAGTACGTAGATGAATGAGGGCCCTGGTCCTCCACAGAAGGGCCCATCAATTCACACAAGACATTTTTTAATGAGTAACAGTGACCACTATTTTTCCTGCATCTGCACAACAGTAATTAAAAGCAGCAGCAGAAGTAAGCTGGTTTTATAAATATCTAGCTCTTCAGCTACTGCTCCCACCTCTCCTTTCTTTCCCTAGCCCTCATCTTTCAGACACCTTTTCAAATTGTTTTATTATTCAAAAAAAACTGAAGTTTTATGATATATTGAAGGGATATGTAGGAAAGGATATGATCCAAGTAGAGCAGTTAACCAAGCATTAACGGTAACATTTGAGAAATGGCCCCTTATTGTAAAACCAACACCTTAATCAACGTAATGGACAAGAATTTACAGCATGTATATGAAGATGGGTAGTTAAAGCGAGACCTTAGCATTAATGTCTTTACCTCTGAGACAACATACTTTATGTGCCAGCAATGATGCTCTGTTTGCTATAGTATCTCTTTGTTCTTTCTATTGAAGAGTACTGCAAATAGTCACAAACAATTCTGCATAATCAGTTCACGAGTTACTGTAGACTTGCTTTTAGAGAAGATGGGCCCGTTCTCCCAAGTAGGAGTCAGCACCTCTGTATTAATGCACACGTTAGCTTGAATTTTCATAATTGCACATGCATCATTTGTGGTACCTGCACATAAATTATGGACACCTGGGCTATTATATATCATACTTTCTCACGTCTGCTCCTTCCTTGCAGCATGGGGGCATAATAAATTATACATGTTATTTCCCACTTTAACCATTACGCATGGATGTGTGCTATCATTGAGGGGAGGGCTATGTCTGAGAGTTTCCACTATGGCTCCTAGGGGATTCCTACACATGATATTATAAAGAACAATGCAAACACATGAGTGCAATACAGCAATGGGCTCCAGTTGCAAAATTCAAATCCAAATCTGGATTTCAAACACCGCAAATTTTGTGGCCAATCAGAGTTTGGATCAGCCAATTTAGCAGGCGCTGACTCCGGTAATCATGCCTAGTGGTTGAAGCGTAGGTCACAGAAAGGTATAGGGTTGGGCCAAGGGTGGCACTGGAATTGAGACCCAAGGACAGGCTGGGGTCAAAACTGAGATCAGAGTCCACTGATAAACCAGAATCAGAACCATAGCCAGAGTCCAGGTGTAGGCCAGAGGTCAAAGCTGAGTAGTCAGAGTCTGAGGGTTTGGGAAGGATCAGTAGGTGGAGGCAAGGCTGGAGTGCGTTGGTGATGGGGCTGGAGCGAGGCTGGAGTAGGGTAGGGACGATGCTATGACAGGGCTCAGGCAAGGCTGGGGAAGGAGCAGACTGGGAGTCTCAAGAGTCTGTTGCGTGGTGAGGCAACAGGAGGGTTCCTTGTGCTGTTGCTCAGACTGATCTGCAGCTTGGTGGGATTGTGAAAGTACCTGACCCCGGGGCAGCATCTGACCCAAGCTCTGCTTAGCAATAGGTTGCTGCTGCATGCCTGAGGGCGGAGCCACTGCAGGCTCTGGTGGAGCAGTAAGTCAGTGCAGCTAGGTTGTTGCTACCTGAGAGCTGACTCACCACAGCACCTATCGAATCACCAGGGAAGGGTGGGCATCCCCCAACTGAAGGGGAGGAGCCACTGGACCCAGGCATCAAATGATCATAGGGGACAACTAATGAAAAAACAGGGATGGGAGTGAGGGTCACAGGGTCAAAATCAGGGATCCAGAGGAGGACATCAAGCAGAGAACTACTGCTTCTCAAAGGCAGACTCACCACAGCAGCTGAGCCAGCAGCCTTGGTTTGGCTGTGAGTTTGCCTCACATCAGTAAAAAGACCAGGACAAGTGGCAAAATTCCAGTATGGAACTGGATTTGAATTCTGAACCACCAGCAATGTTTGAGGATCAATGAAGCAAAGGTTTTGCTTCAAGTCTCTCTTTAGCAGAACGTATACTCTCCACATACAACCTTTCACCAGTAGTACTCACACACCCTCAACATACAAATGGAGTGGATTTGTGGGTACTTGGATTAAAGAAAAATATTGGTTTTGAGATGAGGAGGAGAAGAAGCATCTCCATCCATTCTGCTTATGCTGATGGTGCTCATGCAACCACTTTCTACTGGTTCCAAGCTCTCTGCTCTTAGACCAGGGGTCGGCAACGTTTGGCATGCGGCTCGCCAGGGTAAGACCTTAGCAGGCCGGGCCAGTTTATTTACCTGCTGATGCGGCAGGTTCGGCCGATCGCGGTCCCCACTGGCCGCGGTTCACCGTCCCGGGCCAATGGGGGCGGCGGGAAGGTGCGGGTGAGGGATGAGCTGGCCGCGGCTTCCCGCCGCCCCATTGGCCCGGGACGGTGAACCGCGGCCAGT